ATAAAAGGTGTACAGCTCATTGAACCTGGAGTCTTCTAATCAGTAACTGGAAGGACCCCTTTTATCCTTGCTTAAGGAGCTTTTAAATTTTTTCCTTTAGCAGTGAGACTATGGTAGGGTTGAGAGCTGGGTAGTTTCCATGGTGTTAAGCAGCAGGAATAGTGTCAAGACTTTCAGAGTGTCTCTTCTACGCATGATGGCAATGCTCTGCCTCTGTGGTCAGAGGCAATATGCTTCTGAATACCAGTTACTGAAAACCGCAGGAGGAGAGTGCGCTATTTGTGCCCAAGTCCTGCTTGCAGGTTTCCCAGGTTTGGCCACTGTGAGACCAGGATGTTGGATGAGAGAGACATTTAGACTGATCTAGCAGGTGCTTCTTCTGTTCCTACCTCTGAGGCATTGTACAACATTGGGGGGGGAAGACCCTGCCTTTCTTCTGTCATGGAGAGTCTTCACACTTATTCAGGCATAGAAGAAGGGCAGAAGGCTCTCCTTGGTGGTTCTGTGCTCTTACCAGGGCAAGACGGGGGAGGTCCACATTGTGAATATGCCTGCAGATGTGTTCAACCTAGAAGTGTTTTAAATGTAAGCTCTGCTGAGCTGCCTGCTTCTGTTTTTAAGTCTTGTAAGCCATGTGCAAGGAAACCCCCAACTTCTTGCTCCACACGTATGGAAAAAACTATGTATACTTGTGAAAGGAGACCAGTTTGAGGCTTTGGAAACATGGTGATTGTTTTCTTGAGGCGGGGGGTGGGGAGGGGATTAAAAACAGGGAAATTATTGAGTTTGTGTTAACACGTATCCCCAGGGAAAATATTTTACAGAGCTGCTGATTTGCAAAAGATACATCAGTCTACTTGATTTATTTTTCCATAATTGTTCTCTTTGAAGCACTCTTTCATTTTGGTTTGGCTTTCAAGAAGGAAAAATTGTTCTACGCCCTTGTGTGTGACGTGAAACAAATTGCACAGGCAGCAGCTGTGCTTCCCAAGGTCTTGTAACCAGCTCCTCATGGCGTTGCGCTAAGATTCCTAGCGGGCTTCTTTGGCAATGCACCCAGAACTTTGCTAGTTCGCCAAATGGAAACGTGATTGTCCCTCTCTCTTCCAAAGAGTGCACATGCTCGTACTGTGCAATCCAAGCTGGTGCCCTCCAGCTGTTCGAGGCTGCAACGCTAATCAGCATGGCTGGTGCTGATGGGATTTGTAGTCCAAAACAACTGGAGAGTACCAGGCTGGCAAAGGCTGCTCTAATATCCTAATTTGGTGCTCTACAGCTGTAACCAAGCACTGTGCTATTGTGCAGTGTGGCTGCTTTATGAGCGGTTGCATAATGCTGTTGCAGGTGGAGGATGGAAAAAGGCTAATAATAATGACAGGCCTCGAGACCTGAGAGACTTAGTCTACAGAATGGTCCAGAATTGCACAATACTGTACATTTCTGCTGGAGTGAAGCCCTACCTAAGTGGGAAATAGGATGGATAAACGTTGTTATTCCTTTAAATGGTGAGTTCATTGTTTGCTATAATTGAGCTTAGGTAGGTAAAGGACCCCTGGATGGGTAAAGTCCAGTCTATAATGGCTTTAAATGAAATCTCAGCTTTATTACAAGTATGTTTTCCCCTTCTGTGATCCTCATAGAAAACTCATTCAATATTAAAAGATGAGGTTCATGCGGCAAGAAGGGTAGAGAGAAAAAGGGCGAGAAAGGAAAGAGGTTGGGCAGTGCTATACGGAGTACAGTGGGTGAATTGTAAACAGGAATTTAATATCCAGTTTACTTTCTTGAAACATTTCTACATAGTCTCCCACATCAGTCTTTACAGCAACTTTAAAATAAAGGGATGAAAGCAGCTGGTAACCCGGTGCAGATTTTTAAAAAGTATAAGAACCTGCTGGGGCCAGACTGATCTCCACTTCCAGTGGTCTTTCTTGGAAGGAGGTGTAGCAACTGACCCAACAGCCAGGGATGGGGAAACATTTTTCAGTCAGAGGCCATATTCCCTCTCTGGCTGCAGGCCAATGGAAGGGGCCAGTGTGCGTCCCTGTCTTGTATTTATTTATTGTGAGCATCTTACTGCAGCCAGGTACTAAGAAGTCATGGCAGGTATAAAGACAGTAGAGACGTCGTCCTGCATCTAGGCAAGCTCTTCTTGTGTGCCCTTCTTGGTGGTCATGTTGTTGCTCTTATTATTGTAAGTCCTCTAATCTACATAACCTCTGCAAAATATTTCCATGTCTCAAATTATGAATATTTATGACTCGACCAACCAGCTTGGAAACTTCAGTTTCCATTTCATGGAGAGTTGGTGTTCTGCCCAGTAAGTACCAGCCTTCGCTTCTGGAAAGTTTTGGACTTGCTTTAAAATTACGTGAACTTGCTCGGATACCTTGCAATGTGTCTTAGCAGAGGCCCAACCAGATACCCAATAATTTTCTGGTTTTCCTTGCCCCCTTGTTTAACCAGATGCAATTCTGTAGTGTGAAAGGAATGCAGACTGCACCGCTGAGAAGTTTTTGGAATAAGTTGCCAATTAATTTGCAAACTGTTTCGATCACAGCCGATTGGTATGCACATTTGTTCACAAATCTGTGAAATGGGGAAATTTCATTTAAATCAGCAGGCTGTTCTTTCTGTGCCAACCTAGGCAACTTGTTGTATTCCGTGTTTAAATTTCACAGAAAACAATTGCACTTACTTTAGTAGGGGATCACTTACTCTGTTTACTGGGGATTTTGCTGGATCAGGCTTCTTGTCTATAGAAGAGTTTTTCACTCTTTATTACCATGTACACGTGCATGTATGTGATTAGTTTTCTCTAGTTATACGCCTAATCAAACTATACATATTTTTTTGGGAAAAAGGATGGGGGTGGAAATAGCCATTGCTGTTTCTTTGTAGCCCCTGGTGTCAGTGTTGCCCCACGCAAGCTCTGATGTAATGATGAAGGGAGCCAATCCCAAGCTCCTGTGAAACGTGGCTGAGGGATCGGCCTGTGGGTCCAGCAGATTTGCTTCTCTGCAGGCAGAGTGGGAGCTTCGCCCCCCAAAGCCTCTTAGCTGCAGTGGCAAGCTCTGCCACCAGTGTGCCTTTGCAGATGGTGCTCTGTCAGTAGGGGCAAAAATGGGTGTGTTCGGGGAGCGTTTGGATCCTCAGGACCCAACAACTTCCCACTCCCCTAACAGCCCCTGGAGCTGGCATAGTTCTCCACCCCCATTGCCTTTGAAAGCAATGCCTTGGATAATTTCTGTCTTGGCTAGCATGCGCTTGACTTGGGTTTAGGAAGAGGCAGTTCCTTCTCCCTCAACCGCACCCCTCCCCAACCTCTGTCAGGTTGCTCTGCCCATCTCCATGAGACTTTTTGTGCCAGATCTTAGACTTGTTACAAAGTGTAGACCAGACTTTCTCAGCCTGGTGCTCTCCAGATGGCTTGGACTACAGCTCCCATCACAGCTGGAGGGCACTAGGTTGGGAAAGGCTGCTGTGGGCTCTGTCTTCATATCCAGTCTCTTCTCTTCCTCTTTCCTTCCCTCTCGGTTTCACAGAACCAGGGCTGGTTGCTCTTTCAGTTTTTACCTTTGACATCCAGCTCGGAGAAGAGTTCTGGGAAACTGGAAAGTTTGCCTACCAGTTTAAGTGATGTCCCATTAATACTTTTTGGTCTTAAACCTCAACTCCTCGTACTTCTGAGCATAAGGGACAGGAAATGCTCTGGTACAAATAATTCAGTAGATCAGTCTTTGGGTACTGTATTCATGAGAATAAAAATAGTTGCTGAATTATAACTGACCGGACCTGGAGTGGAACTTGAGAGAGGTGCACATTTCTCTATATTGGATTTTTAATTTTTAAGCCCTAGATTGCCCTGTATAAAGGAAACATCCTACATACTTTCTATTCACTCCTGGACAGATCTGGCAGGAGAAAAGGCATGTCAGGAATCTTGGAATAAATGGTCTGTGCTTTACCCTACAGTGGTTGGGCAGATCCAAGCTTGTAACACTGTGAAACAGAAATTCAGTTGGCAAGAGAATAGCTGCCTTCTCCTGGCTTCTCAAAGTGACAACAGGGGGCAAGGATAGGATGCTGGAGGCAGAGAATGAGCCATTGCCTCTCCCCAACCTTTTAAAAAACCTGTGGGAAGTGCAGTAATGTTTGATTTGCAACCATGATGCTGTTAAACCTATTTCCTATAAAAAAGGGGGCTACATGTAACTCAGCGGCAAAGCACCTAGTTTGCCCGGAGAAGTCCCAGGTTCAGTCTTAGGGGGTTTGTGAGAATAAAAGGAGAAAGGAAAGAGCCACAAATGCTTTTTTTAAAAAAATCATAATTTTCATTATAACCATTTCCAGAATCACATTCAGATATACATTTCCACCGATTTCCCTTCCCCGATTGCTTTAATTTCATCACCATTCCTGCATATTCTTATATATCCATTTAGATGACTTTCCCCCCTTTATTCTTCCTTTATTATATATTCCCAGTACTCTCTTAACTATTTTGCATGCCCTTGGAGAAATGGCTGTATAAGAACAGAAGAGGAGTCTTGTCCTTCTTGCCAGTGGCCCGTCTAGCCCACTGCGGCCAACTAGCTGCCTCTGGGAAGCCAGCAAGCAAAACCAACAGCACTTGCCCTAGTTATGATTCCTAGCACTTGGCATATTGCTTCCAACAGTGGAAGCAGAACATTGCTGTTCCAGCTGGTAGTCACGGACAACCTTATCAGTCATGAAAAAATACAATTGGCTATTGAAGCCTCTGCATTTCTCTCTCTTGCTCACTCACCTCTTCTTAGAAAAATGTGCCCCTCAACTTCCAGTGTAGCAAATGTTTTCCTTTTCCTTTTGCACCTTCTCTGTTGTCTCCCACGTTACAGGTGGGCAGCCTCAACTCTGCTCTTCCCCGAGGGCCTTAAGTCTAGCACCATAGCTGCTGCGCACCCCCCCAAGTCCTTGTTCCTTGGCATCTAACCGAGCCCTGTGCATTTCTCCCTTAGATCTGCAACTGGTTCATCAACGCCAGGCGCAGGCTCCTCCCTGACATGCTGCTTAAGGACGGCAAGGATCCCAACCAGTTCACCATATCTCGCCGCGGTGCCAAATCTGCTGATGTGACGCTGACCCATGCAGCCGCCGCCGCCACAGGGTCCGGACTCCTAATGGTGCCTCCTGCCTCCTCTGCCTCCTCCAAGGTGCTCTCCATGTCGGTCTGCTCGCCCATGACCTGCCACCCTGCCCGGCCCCTGGCCGGCAGCTTGACTGTGGTGACGAGTGAGCAGGAGAGCCCTCGCCCCACCTTCCAGCAGGTCAAGCTCGAGCCTCACTCCAAGCAGCCGCAGCTGAGCGCGACGGGCAGCACTCTGGCTCTCCTGACCAGGGCAGATGCCGCCAGTCCCACCAGCGGACTCTTCAACACGCCGCCGCCGACTCCGCCCGAGCTCTTCGGAGAGGACTTCAGCAGTTTCCAGTTGCTGGTGGAAGTGGCCTTGCAAAGGGCAGCTGAGCTTGACTCGCAGAAGCTGAGCGGGCAGCTGCCTCCGTCACTGCAGAGAGAGGCCGCTGCGCCAGCCCTCTCCAGAAAATCCAAGTAGCTTTCTCCAGCCACTAGCTCCTTTTGGAGGCTTTGGGGGTTCCCCTGCTCCTTCTCCCGAGTTTTTCTGTTGGCCTCTGCACTGAGGGTCCTCCCTGCCAGATGTTAACGCTGTGATATGGCTACCCCTCAACCAGGAGCAAAACAAGCCGAGGCTTCCTTGGCCGTTTTGACGCTGTGCTGCCAGCTCACCTCGGCTTCTAGAACGAAACACTGTCTCCACCGCAAAGCAGGAGGGCAACACACCCTTTGGATAGCGTTTCGCTTTTTCTGGACCTTGCCAGCATCCTTTCCTCCTGTTGAAGCCGCGTGGAGGACACTGTCTGACTAGGGGGGTGCCTGAACCACGCACAATCTGCTCTTGAAAGGACCGAGAGGCCTTAATGTGCTCTGAGAGAACATGGCTGGTGTTCTGTTACTGTGACTTTGTGTTTTATTTTTTTGCTGTGGAGCATCCTTGTGCAGAGGTCCTTCTCTTCTCCCACTTTTTTTTGAAGCCTGCTGACATGGAAGAGAACAGGAAAAGGGTCCAACACGGAACGGAGGAGAGATAATTAAAAAACAAAAAAAACCAAGTACCTTAAAAATACGAATTATGGTGGGGAGGCGAAATGAGTGGTTTCACCTCTGCCCAGAGAATCCTAACGCATGTCCTTTTTGGGGGCGGGCGGGCAGGGGTTGTTTCTGTTTTGCTGTTTCTGTAGCATAACTTCTTTGACATACTCTTGGTCTGGTGCGCATGAGTGGCTGGCCCCTGCATGTTGCCTAACCGGAGTCCCTGGCATGAGCAGATTTAACTGGAAATGTTAAATGTTTGTGGCATCCCTCTCTCTTTCCACTGGGAGGTGGAGAGGGGGAACAATCAACGACCACCCTTCGAATACTGGTGCCAGTTAAAAAAAAAAGTATGGTGCTGTTTGAGCAATTTTATTATTATTTTAGGTGCTGGCTTTTTGTGACTTCATCCATTCCTCTCCCTGTGTTTCCCCCCATGTCATGTTTGGAGATGCACAGATGTGATCAGAGTGGCAGGGAAGGATGCTCTGCTGGCTGAGAAGCAGCAAAGGGGCATTTCAGAGGTGGGGAAGAGGGATAGGATCCGGAACAAGACTCTTTGACTGTGAAGTTGCTTTAAACAACCCTTTCTTCTTCGTTTTTCATTTTGAATTTTGTTGGTCGTGGACTGTAACTCGGGAAATCTAAGGTGTCTTTATGGATGTGCTGACAAAACTACCTATAAGGGGGGCGGGCGGGGGGGGGGGGACACACAACCAACCTCCTGACTTTGTTTTGGATCCTTGCTCTCATCATGCTGAATGTAGTTTCTCTTTTGCTGATGGAGCACAGGTGCCCTCTTGTGGCCAGGAAGGGAGGTTGACCAGAGGAGGGTCTTTCATAGTGAATTACAACCTCTCCTGCACACTACAAGCTGTGTGTGACCCTGAAATTGCCTCCCTATATGATTTGATGTGTCCCCATGTACTTGGCAGCCTTGGCAGAAATTTAGACCCACCTGATAGTATCTGATCCCCCTTGAGCAGTGTTTTCCAAACTTGGGTCTCTAGCTGTTTTTGAACTACAACTCCCATTATCCCTGACCTGATCCAGCTAGCTAGAGATGATGGGAGTTGTAGCCCCAAAACAGCTAGAGACCCAAGTTTGGGAAACACTGCCCAAGAGAGAAGGGGTGTGGAAGCCCGTGGCCCCACCAGATGTTGCTGGAGTTCCAACTCCCATCATCCCTGACCAGTAGCTGGGGGGGCATGCTGGTTTGGATGGGAGGGAGTTGAGAGCCCCAGCAGCATACGCAGGGCCATATATTCTTCATCTGTGGTCCATGCCCTGGATTGAAGGGGGTGGGAAGCTGGGGGTTTGCAAGATTGAACTGCTAAGACATGCATATATTTTTCATTGAGTTACGCCCCCCCCCTTTTGGCCTGAGACCAGGAACTTGCAAAACACAGAGTGCCCTGGGTGATATGAACATCCACCTTTTTTATTTTAATAGTGCTGTTTCACTGTAAATGTAAGTTAAATAGTGATCTATTATATACACCTATATATCTTGAAAAACACTAATTTTTAGAAGGTGTTAGCCTAATTTTTACGTTGCATGAATAGTAAAGCTAAAAAGCCCAGCAGGATGCAACTTTTCACATTTTTGTTCTCGAACTAGGTGTGCAAACCTGGTGACGAAAAACGACAAGGACAGCAGTGAGTGCATTGAAGAACTGGAACTAATAGGGTGGGAATTGTTATGGGCTTAATGGAACATTGCAAATTACAGATTTAGGGCTAAGATTGGTACAACCTGTAATTGCTGCTGCACAAATAATTGCCTGCTTTCCTTTTGTTGGTACTTTTTGATCTTCGGTGATCCTTTATCAATCAGCAGGGTATCGCTTAACTCTGTCTAGAGAGCTGCCGTTTTCGCATATTGATCCAGAAATTTGAAAAAGCAAATACATTGCCAAATTGTGCTGCTTTCTGTTTTGAAAAGCCTGAAGAGCTGCCGTGTAACATACTTGGTTTTTTGTTTGTTTGCTTAATTCTAAAATCTTGTGGATTAATTTGTCTATTTGCATTGAATCTCTGGAAGGTGGCTCCTTCCATCTCCTTCTCAAGCTTGGTTCCTATCTTGTTTTCTGGATTGTGGAAGCAAAACTTGACCTTGCTCCCCCCCCTCCAATTTTTTTTATTGATTTTCCAAAAAATTTTAGATAAACAAACATAAATCTTAACTGTACTTAATCCAATCTTAGTAACATTTTTAAGTGACTTCCTTGAATCCCCGTGGCTGAATTTCAGTCTATATTATTATAACAGTTTTCCAAAATTGACCTTGCTTTTTATAGGCTTTCAAGAATTATGTATCCCTTCAGAGTGTAACTGAAATTGGCAAGATACTTTTAAGCAGCAGCATTCCAAGTCCAACTGAAGACACTTAGTCATGTTCACACTCTTATTAAAAATGTTTGAGTAGTTTCCCCTCCTCTACCCTCAATTAGGCCCCCTTGACTTGGGCTGGATTGGCAGCCGTTTGATTAGAATTGTGCCTCCATTAAATGAAGCAGTTTGAACCTTCTTTCCTGGCACTGCAGGAAACCTAAGCAGATCTGAAATTGCTGCACAAGGTAACAAGAGCAATGTTTCAGTTCCTACAATGCACTGACTATTCTTGCTGTATCTTATTTGTCCAAACGATATGGAGACCTTGTTTTTGATGGGATGGGAAGTTAAAAGAGGACGGAAAAAAAGAGAATATTCTTTTGTCTGATGTTTATGAAGCAAAAAACTACTGTAAATAACTGTTTTGGATTTTTTTAATCAATAAAGTTTTTTTAAAAACACACCACACCTAGTTTGTATGGTCTCTGTGCGTACGAACTCTGACCTTCCCCTCTGGCTCTTTGCATCCAGTGTTGTGTGAATGTACGTACAGGTGCATACAGTGACTGCCCTTACCCTATGCAGAGGGTCATAAAAGCAGACAGCAGAATTCTGTAATGTAGAAGCTTGATTGGTGAAGGAGTTTGGCATATACAGAACACAACTTAGTCATTTCTTCTTAACAGCAGGTGTGCTAGCATATTGAAAAGCGGAGCTTTCACTGACAGAATCAGAGCAACAATCCTTGATATTTCTAAAGTAGGCCACATACGGTTTTTGTACAAAATACTTTATCTTTTCAGTGCCCCTCCCTTTTTTGTCACATTGGCACTTGGTCCCCTGCTTCCTGAACAAATCAGTGGCAAGAGGGTTGTGCCCCCCTACTTTGGGCAGAGGGGGTTGATATTTTTTTTTTTAAAGCGTAATATACGTATTAGGAGAAGGGCAGGCAGGCAAATGCTGCACTGCTAGAGAGAGCTCTGCCTCCCCTGCATCCATGGCTACTAGTTCTTCCTCCATGTTCACAATTACGACCAGTTGCTGGAAATCACAGGAGTGGGAAGAACAGGAGGACTCCTGGGCTCAGATCCTGCTTCCCAGCTTCCCACAGGCTTATGGCCACTGTGAGAACATTTGCAAATTACTTCTCTGGGTATAAAAACAAGCCACCTGGTGGCAGGCTAAAGGCCTGTCAAAATGAAAAAGTGGTGGAAACCATCATGGTATGCAAGCTGGACCTGCAAAGGCTGGCTATTTCATAGACCAAAGCAGAGGAGGTTAGTCACTGCCAGCCTTTAGGAGTAAGTTTCCTCCTCTGACGGTCTGAAGGGTGTTGGAGAGGGACCTGGGTGCACCCCTGGACCCAGCTAAATTGGGTGAAATCTGGACCATTGACCCCAGTCTCTCATAAGAAGAGTTTTCCTAGACTCCTGGATTCACAGCCCAGTTAGACTGGCCAATACACACTGGACTGAGCAGCCACTTGATGTTGGAAGGCTGCCCTGGAAAAGGTACTTACCAGCACCGATTGTGGGAATGTGGTCTAGGTAAAGGTAAAGGGACCCCTGACCATTAGGTTCAGTCGTGGCCAACTCGGGTTGCAGCGCTCATCTCGCTTTATTGGCTGAGGGAGCCTGTGTACAGCTTCCGAGTCATGTGGCCAGCATGACTAAGCTGCTTCTGGCGAACCAGAGCAGCGCATGGAAACACCGTTTACCTTCCCGCTGGAGCGGTACCTACCGTATTTTTCGCTCTATAACACGCACCTGACCATAACACGCACATCGTTTTTAGAGGAGGAAAACAAGGAAAAAAATTCTGAATGAAACAGTGGATGTATCATTTTTGTGCTTCATGCTGTGGCCACAGACATGTGATCTGATGGTGAATTTGGGGTAGCTCAATGCAAAGATCCTGAGGATCCATGTGGATCCATGCTTTTTAACGACATTTTTGCACCATTGCAGCCCCAGGCAACAGTGGGTGTGTGATTTTTGGGGGGCAGGCTGCTATGTGATCTGATGGTGAATTTGGGGTGGCCCAATGCAAAGATCCTGAGGATCCATGTGGATCCATGCTTTTTAACCACGTTTTTGCACCATTGCAGCCCCAGGCAACAGTGGGTGTGTGATTTTTGGGGGGCAGGCTGCTATGTGATCTGATGGTGAATTTGGGGTGGCCCAATGCAAAGATCCTGAGGATCCATGTGGATCCATGCTTTTTAACCACGTTTTTGCACCATTGCAGCCCCAGGCAACAGTGGGTGTGTGATTTTTGGGGGGCAGGCTGCTATGTGATCTGATGGTGAATTTGGGGTGGCCCAATGCAAAGATCCTGAGGATCCATGTGGATCCATGCTTTGTAACTACATTTTAAGTGGGGAGTGAAGGAAAAACACAGAAGGGACAAGAGAGCGGTGTGCAGAGAAGCAGCTGGCTAAGAAAGCAGGAGAGAGATTTTACGGGAGGGAGGAAAGAAAGGCAAAAGTTTCCACAAACCGAAGCCAGCTTTCTCTCTCCTCCTGCATGTTTTCTGGCTGCCTGCGAGGAGCACGGAGAGGAATTAGAAGGAAAGACCTCTGCTTTCCCCTCTGCTTGCCTGGAGGGGAGGGGATTTGCCTGCTCTTTGTTCCGTTTGAGCAAACACAGCAACGAAACAGAGGAGGGTGGGCAGTAAGACCCTGAGGCAGAATGCAGGAAAGCAACCACTTCCTCTTTTCAGGTTTCCCTCTCCGACACAATGCACGGTTGATTTTTGCTGATTTTTGTTCCTGCGCTCCCCTAATCGGCTCCAGGGACCCCCCCCCCACATTCGCTCCATAACACGCACAGACATTTCCCCTTCCTTTTTAGGAGAAAAAATCTGCGTGTAATAGAGAGAAAAATACGGTATTTATCTACTTGCACTCTGACGTGCTTTCGAACTGCTAGGTTGGCAGGAGCAGGGACCGAGCAACGGGAGCTCACCCCGTCACGGGGATTCAAACCACCGTCCACCTGATCCGCAAGCCCTAGGC